TTTTTGTTTTTTTTTGGTTAAGTGTTTTACGGCGCTCGCAACTGGATAAGGTCATATGAGCGCAGGGGACACATCAAACATTTTCGGTTGATAGGGAATTTTGGAATTTGCCCGGGTGGCGGCCGAAGTCTACTCTTATCGATTTTAAATTACCAAGGGATCTTTAACGTGCGCAACTTGCGCATGGGACATTCGAAATTTTTCGCCCTTGTCCGAGAAGGCTAGGTGTTGATCTTTCCTACCAGAAGATCAGGGGTGTGGCTGAAAGACAACAGTAAGAAGGAGCTAAGGAGTAGCAGTCGAAAGGCTGCAGAAAGAGATAGGAGCCCAAGGGAGGGGGCAAAAGGACTGAAGGGCCGAAGGTGGAGACGAAAGCAGACGACAGAACATTGCTAGAGAGCAGGAAAGGAGGTGAAAGGAGTCAATTTTAGAAAAAAAATGTTTCCGTCGCAACCCGGATTCGAACCCGGGATCTTTGAACGAGAGGCGAACACCTTAACCTCTAGGCCACGACACAAATTAGTCCATTTGGTTCGGTCCTTTTGGGAATTGACTTTATATTCGGAAGTCCCGCCTCTTAAAAGTGGTTCCAGTAGCGTTTGACTTATACAGTTCCATTTTCAAGTTTTAAGCTCAATTACGTTGTCACCTGGCGAGTGGTTAGAGGGTGCCTCTGTTAGGTGTTATCGTCGACTTGCTGATGGAACTCTTGTGTAGTGGAGAAATTACTATGAACAAAGGTGCGAATGAAAACGAAATACGTTTACTTTTAGTTATCCAGGATTACAATTATTTCACAATCGGGCTTGCGGCTTACTGATTACAGGACAATTCTCTTCTGGAAAGTACGTCATGTACTCACTCAGTGGGTGGTTGGCGGGTGCTCTGATGTGGTTTGCTTCTTGTTTCCTATAGAATATCTATCGTCCTTATCTGTCCTTCTTTTTGTGTTTGTTATTCTCTTGTAACATCTCTAATCTTCGGCACGTATATGACCTTATTGTGCTGCAAGTGCCATAAAACTCTTACTATAACTAAAAAGAGTACTCACTCTACTCACTCAATGACCTTCAGTTTAGTACGGCCCCCCCCCCCCCCACCCACACACCCTCTCCCCCCCCCCCCCAAACCACCAAATTATACGTACACTTGAAAGGCTTTAACACCACCCCTCCCCTCAAAAGATAAAATTGTCCAATTGAAAAAAAAAGGTCGACTTGAAAAAAATTGCAGTCTGTTTGGCATCGGTGAGGTGAGTCCCTCAATGTTTGTCACTTAAAGGTCGCACGTGCTAGTTGAATGGCACAACACAGAGTGGGGAGACAACTGTGCCAGTGGGGGTGACAGGACTGAACTGTACATTATAAAGTCGTGATCGGAAACCTCGGCGGCCACTTTAATCCGACTGCGTCACTCATGAAGTGGATTCGCCGCTGCCTTGAGCTCGAGGCCGGTAAATTTGTACACTTTTCTGTACTCGATCTATGTTGGTATCGAGTGCTCGTCGAAGCTCACCTCCAGCCTAAATCGAATTATTAAAATAGTGTCGATGGAGATGTAGAACACCTTCAGTTACATTTGGCAAGGAGAGAAAGTGTGCCTTGTTAGACGATATTATATTAGCTGTCATTCCTGCCGATTCTTTGACCAGTCTTCCTCCCGCCTTTTCCTTTTGCCCCTCCCCCCCTCTATCTCTCTCTTTCTCCTTCCCTCCATTCTCTCTCTTTCTCTCCCTCACTCCCACCTCTCTCTCCTTCTCTCCCCTTCTCTCTCTCTCCCTCTCCCTTACTCCCCCCTCTCTCTCTCCCCCATTCTCTCTCTCTTTCTCTTTCTCTCTGTCTCTGTCTGTCTGTCTGTCTGTCTGTCTGTCTGTCTGTCTGTCTGTCTGTCTGTCTGTCTGTCTGTCTGTCTGTCTGTCTGTCTGTCTGTCTGTCTCTCTCTCTCTCTCTCTCTTTCTCTCTCTCTCTCTCTCTCTCTCTCTCTCTCTCTCTCTCTCTCTCTCTCTCTCTCCCTCCTTCCCTCCCCCCCCTCCTCTCCCCTCACACTTGAGTCCAATACTGAGAACTGTCCCCCCCTTGCAGGTGGTCAAGGGCTGAACCTGACGTCAGCAGACACCGTCATCTTTGTGGACAGTGACTTCAACCCACAGAATGACCTGCAGGCCGCCGCCCGGGCACACCGGATTGGGCAGGACCGGTGAGGGGGTGGTGGTGGTGGTGGTGATGTTGCTGTTGTTGTTGTTGTTGCTGCTGTTGTGTGTGTGTGTGTGTGTGTGGTAGCCTATCCGTTCGAAATGTTTGGAGCCCCGAAGAGCATGCTCTTTGCCAGGGCCACTGCCTCCCTTGGAGAAAAAATGTCTCTCTGTTGCTGCTGTTGTTAATGATGGTGGTGGTGGTGGTGTTGCTGTTGTTGTTGTTGTTGTTTTTGCTCTTGTTGCACACCGGATTGGGTAGGACAGGTGAGGGGTGGTGGTGGTGGTGGTGGTGGTGATGTTGTTGTTGCTGTTGTTGCACACCGGATTGGGCAGGACGGGTGATGGGGGTGGTTTTTGCTTTTGTTCTTGTTTGTTTTGTTGGTATCGTTGTGGTTGATGTTGATGTTCTTGTTGTAGCTGCTGGTTGTAGTGGGGGCAGGTTTGATGACGTAGTTACTTTTGTCAACGCTGTTCATTTGTTATTATTGGTGGTGGTGGTGGTGGTTATTGTGGTCATGTTGGTTTTGTGGCGTTGTTGTTGTTGTCCCTATAGATGTTGTGGTTTTTTGCTTTGTTCTGGATTTTATCTTAAGTAATTTTCTCTGATTCAAATAAAAAACTCACTCACTCTCCCACCTATTCTCTCACTCACTCTTTCACTCACTCACCCACCCACCCACTCACTCACTCTTTCACTCATCCACCAACTCATTCACTCACTCTTTCACTCACCCACCCACCCATCCACTCATTCACTCTTCCACTCACCCACCCACCCATCCACTCACGCGAGCACTCGCTTATATTAGTTTTATAAGTTGGTTACGAAGGCTCAAATTCTCTTACCTCTAAAGTCATTAAAAAATGTTTAAAGCTTTGAATTTCATGACTATTCCCACCCGCCCACCCACCCACTACCCTGCCGAAATATTAATGAAAGTTTAATTGTGTTTTCTTCTCTTCTTTTTCGCTTCTTCTTCCTCCTCTCTTTACTCATTCTCCTCCTCCTCCTCCTTATTCTTCTTTTACTCCTTTATTTTTTCTTTCTCCTCTCCCTCTCATTCTCATTTTCATTCTCTCCTTTCTCCTCCATCTTTGTCTTTCAGACCAGTGAAGGTAATACGGCTCATAGGAAGGAACACCGTGGAAGAGATCATTTTACGTCGGGCTGAAGAGAAGCTCAAACTCACCGAGAAAGTCATCGAAAAAGGAGCGTTTGCATCCGCGTCGACCAGCCGACAGGCTTTTGCTCAAAATGGAGGACAGGTATTGATAATATTATTTTTGTAAGAGAACTCTTATTTGTTTCGGTACTTGTTTACAGCAGACAAATACTTTTGAAATTGACTATGGTGACCACCCACTGCAGAGGGGGTAGGTGGTTGGAGGGTGCTCTGGTGTGGTTTGCTCCTTCTTTCCCATCAAACATCTGTTGTCTTAGGCCCTTATCTCTCCTCCTTTTTCGTGTTTGTTACTCACGTGTAACATCTCTAATCTTCAACACTTGTATGACCTAATAGTGCTGCAAGTGCTGTAAAACTCTTACTAAACAAAATTGTTGAGGAGAAAAATGGTTTCTTTAGGCAAGTGGACGTCTTTGATTCTGTCATTATAATACTGCAAAAATGCAAGGGGAAAAGTGGGAGTGCATATCGCGTTTACAAGTCACAATGCTGAAAAAGCATGCTGGGTGTTAATTGATAACCATAGGAGAGAGAGAGAGAGAGAGAGAGAGAGAGAGAGAGAGAGAGAGAGAG